TACGCAAACTAGTAGATCATGCCACCTATTTCTATGGCGAATTGGTGGAAGAGTCCTTGTCACGTAAAACTTTTATAGAAAATGAAATTAGTGATTTGAAAAAAGAAGCTGAAAATTTAAAGCGTTTACTAAAGACCGATGTACAACTGCCCAGCTATGAAAGTAATGAAGTGCCGTTATTAATAGTGCAATCTGAATTGGATAAAAGTCTAGAGGATCTCAGGGAACAGTTAAGATTGCGTAAGGAACAAATCTGTGAGCTATTGTTGGAACAGGAGGCTTATGCGAGGAACTAGGAGAGCCGCCACGTGCTTTATTAGCCGATCCTTTGCCGACCGCAGAAGAAATTGAAAATTTCCGCAAACATTTAGAGTCTTTGAGGGAAGAAAGAGTAGAGCGCATGAATAAAGTCTCCACCATGCGCAGAGAAATTAAAAATTTCTTGCAAACTTTGGACTTAAAAGTAAGTACTGAACATGAGGATCGTTTGCTAAACCATCGACAAATCAAAATGAATAAGGAGACATTTGAGGGTTTAAAACGTATGCACGATTTGTATGGTGGCCAAGTTAAGGAATTACGTGACACTATACAGGGCATGCGCAACAAATTAGATACTTTGTGGGATCGTTTGAAAACTTCACCTAATACCCGGCACAAGTTTAATCGTTATAATGATTATAATCAACACACATATGATGTATTCTACAGTGAGTTGCAGAGATGCGAAACATTGAAAAGTCAAAATATTAAACTATTTGTGCAGCAAATACGTGATGAAATAACAAAATGGTGGGAAAAGACCCTTAAGTCAGAAGTACAAAAAAATCGTTTTTCAAATTTCACTTCTACCTGTTACACCGATGATTTATTGGTTTTGCACGAAATGGAATTGGAGGATTTGAAGTTGTACTATGAGACCAACAAGCAGATATTTGAATTGTATGCCGATCGCAATATTTTGTGGGATCGTATGAATGCTTTAGAAGCTAAAGCATCAGAACCGGGCAGATATAACAATCGTGGTGGCCAGTTGTTGAAAGAGGAAAAGGAGCGCAAAACTATAGCCACCAAATTGCCAAAAATAGAGCAGCAAATCTGTGAGCTGGTTAGGCAATATGAGGCTAGAGAACATGCTCCCTTTTTGGTATATGGCGAGAATATAATCGATGTTATGGCGGCGCAATGGGATCAAAAACGTCGTGATAAGGAGCTGTTGCAGTCGGCTAGAAAAAATGCTGGTAAACCCGCTACAAATACAGCCTCTAAAACTAATTCCACTATGAGAACACCCTTGGGCATGAAAAATGCTTCTTCGGTAAGTTCCTTAAGAAAAACTCCCTCCACTACTTCATTGGCTTCTAGCACAGCGGCTGCTTCTTCACAAAAAAGAAAACTAAATCCAACAGAACGGCAAACACCTATAGCTAAACGTTCCCTCATGCAGGCCTTAAATAGTCCCAGTGTTTTTCTAAAACCCTCCACTAGTAAAAACAATATGCAACATTCCACCAACAGCAGCTCAGCGCATTCAAATAGTAAATCTACTAAACTCAACAAATCAGGTACAAGTTTTAAATCACCTATGAAAAAAACTAAACTAATAGCCACCACTATACGTCGGCGCAGTGGCAGATCCAGTGGTCACAATATGAAAAAAAGACGTTCGATGAATAAAACTCCCTCTGCGGCCAAGACAATACCCAAAATTGTTGTAAACAACTGCCCCTCGGATGGTTATAGCACCGATTACAATGCCGACGATACTTATGATTCGTTTCAGAAATACATCGAACCAGCCTCACGTTCATCGATCATACAAAATGTCACCCTTAGCAGTGACTCCTCGCGCACAAAACGTATGCAGAAAATAGTAGATGATGAAAATACTCGTTTAGCTAAACTACCCCGGCCACGGGTGGTAAATCGTACTCCCTCCAAACAGCATGCTAGCTTTTCAAATCTAACCCGCACTCCCACCCATAATAATCATCATTCACCGGCTTCTTGCGCCACGACTGGACGTAAATTGACTACGAAAAACTTGCCCATTATTATTTAAGTATTATTTGATTATCTAGTTCTTTTGTGTATTGTTTTATGATTTTATTTTTAAAATATTTTATATGTTTATTGGTGTTAGGTTTAATTTTAATTTGTAATTTTGTTTTGCTACTTATTTTGGTTGGAATTATAAAGGAAAAATTTGCTGGTTTAATTATACAAAAGATCTCTCAAACATTTTCCAAAATTAAATTGAAACTTATTTAAAATTTGTTGCAAAACTAAAAGAAAACCGTCCATCTGCTCTTTGTTGCTTTCTCCATAATTTCCCTTTTGTTTTCAAAAAAAGTTCGTTTAAAATGTTTCGTTTTTTTTTTATAATAATTTTTAAAATTTTTCCATAAATTCCAGCAAAATAAGTTGTATATTTTTGTTTTCTATACACTAATAACTTTTTTTGTTAAAAACAATATTTTTCCTCATAACTTAACGATTT